TGATAAAAACTACACAGCCTACAGTATTTTTACAGTCTTTATTTTACAGTTAAAATATATGTTTATCAAATAAAGTCTAATGTTACAACTAATCATGGATCCCTTTAAATTCCTGCTCATACTAACTCTTAATTTCTCTCCTTTTCCCATTTTCAAGGATGAATACCAGCAGACCAAACCAGGAGTTTTGACCTTTAGACTTCCCAGATGAAGCAGCAATATTCAGTCAGAGCTTCCAAGCAGAGATTGGATCCAAGTGATCAGTCTTGTGTGAAACCTTCCTGAAGACCGGAGAGACCTGATGCAAATTCTTCAAATCAGTTTGGATTCTGAACTGTCGGGATTTATCGGTGAGATTAGTTTACAACTTTGAGGCAAACAGCTTGACAAGATGGATGAATATTTAAAGGAATTTGGGGAAACGTTTCTTTTTTTTTGTCRTTGTGAACTTTGAATGGGATGCTCCACCGCCTCGTCTGACCAAAGGAAAACGACACAGGATGCTGGATGTTGTTTGATTTTGTTTCTCTTTTCACCTTTGGCCTTTGGGGAAGAAATATTTATAAAAACACACCGGGTGCACTTGTTTACTCCTGGAGCCTCGGAGGGAGAGGTAAATGCTCCTTCCCCGTTTAACGGCAACAGGACGCCTGGTTTCGTCCTTCTAAAGACCGAGGCGTGGACGGGAGGACGCAGGTGACGCTGTTGGCTGGCTGAGTCAGCGCCAATGGGGGCCGGTTTTGACCCGGTCTGACCCCAGTTTGACCTTCACAGTGACCTCTGACCTCTCCGGTCCTGGCTCTCCACCTACTCTGCTGCCTGGGTTCGGGAACGCTCCGCCCTGGGGCCCAGAACGAGCCAATCAGAATGAAGAAGAGCCGCAGCGTGCTGTCGGTGACTGGAGAAGAGGTGAGATGGAAACAAACGTATAATATTAAACATTAACATTAARCATAGACAGTGAGAATCAAATACACTCTTAACATAAAAAGAAGATGCAGACTCAATGACTGACAGACTGAACTGTGTGTCTGTGTGTGTGTGTGTGTTTGACAAACAAACCGCGTGACTTTCACACATCGAGCTGTCTTTGTTCCTGGGTCTGCGCACACGCTCAGACATCCCAGCGGACAGCTCGTATCCTCCAGCGTACATGAACGCAGCGTGAAGCGCTCTGCCACAGCGCCTCGATGGAAACGGGCTGCTGATAAATAAAGTGGGCCGTTTCCTGTTAAAGGTGACATTCAGGCTGAAGGACGTGGTGCCGTGTGTTATTCAGATGCTCTGGCGTGGGTTATGCCAAGCAGGTGCCCGTGTGTTCCTGTGTGTGGTTGTGAGCCTCCGTCCACATCTGTGTCCGGACGACATCGAACGCAGCATGGAGGCAACACGGCACTGTTGCCTAGCAACTGCTGCCATTCCCCCAGTGTTTTGTTGCTACGGTGCTGCAGTGCAGATCAGCCTCTTGAAGCTCAGTCTGTTGAGGCCCCATCACACACACACACACACACACACACACACACACACACACACACTCGTAGCAAAAATATCTTCCTTTCTGAACACC